GCATGTATGGGGAATGGTTCATTTTCTCTCCATGATCAGGAAAAGACAAAGAGAGAAAAATGAATAATTAGAAATGTACTGATATGCAAAGCCTGAATACATCTTCCTCTAAAACAGTAAATAGGCTGGAATATTTCTGGCTTAGAACCAGCATATTCATAACATTCTCTCTTGTGTTCAAACAGCACCCTCTTATGGTAGTCTAACAACACTGCAATAATTCGAAACAAAGTGAACTAATTTGCACCACCATCCTGTGCATGTCTACTGAGAAGTCTCACTAAATTCAGCAGACTTTCTTCCAAGTAAATGGGGACAGAATTGCAGCCTTACTTTTCTGTTTTTTTCTACAAGGGCATCTACTATCAGACAGTAGCTTGGCTAGGAAGAAAAGCTGGCAAGTGATCTGTTTTCTAGCTATCTAGGTGTATGAAATATAATTCCAAACCAGCAATTATAAACATAAAGCTAGACTGTTCAATTGGCAGACCTGAACACTTCCTGCACCCTGGTTGTGATGCCCTCCTATAGTTGTGAGCTTAAGACAACTGTAGCGAAAGCAACTTCCCATTAACATGTGGTGATAAAATGTGATCTCTCCATACAGCTGCTGAAATTTTGTTCTGCCTTTTCAGGCACAATATTATAGAAGATTTTTTTTTTTTTTAGCAAGGGGAAGAGTAAATTGATTTAAGGAAAAAAAATCTTCAGAATGCAGTCTAATAGAAAGGCAACTCCACTTGCATTGCAAAGATGCTACATTAAGCCTTCTGCAGGTTAATTGCATGCCAAGTGCAGTTCATGTAGATTAGCAAAAAGCTTTGATTTAGGCACAAGAAGGTGCCCTTAGTTCCATAAGAGAAAAACAGAAAGGTGCAGAGACCAATACTGAGTAATTTGTTAGCATGTAGAAACAATTTGGCTCAACTCTTTGAAGCTGAACTCAGAACTTAAATCCTTAAAGCAGAGGAAAATTACTAGTGATATCCCACTTTGAACTTTGCCCAGTTTTATTATTATCTGCTCTCTTTGGGGTGTGTGCTGCATTTATGCTGGACCAGACCGCCCCCCCCCCACTCTCCACAAAAGCACCAAGAATTACAAAGTCAGAAATCTGGTTTAGTATGTTTCCCTTAGTGAAAGCTGCACACTTATTTTAAAACAACCATTTATAAAGCAACAATAGCAGCCAAGCCAGAAACAAGCTCCCTTCATTGCTGATCAGAGAGAACCTACTTATTTCTGAGGTTCTTATCCTCCAATTTCTACAGGAATGAAGACTTTCTCATGCATTTGGCTACTCTATTCTCCAGGTGCTGCTTCCAGGTGAGGGGCATGGCCAAGTGCCTTTCCTAACCCTCCTGCAAACGGGAGTCAACAGCCAGCCAGCACCTTTACAAAGCCTTCTCTGTGCTAAGTCCCAGTGTTAGCTGTGTCATGCCAAAACCTCCTGTCTCAGGGATGCTGCACCATTAAAGCGTTACAAGAAAGGAAACCATGGCTACAAACACATTTTAATGTAAAAGGGCACAACCACAGCCTACTGAGGAACATGGTGGAACGTGGTGCCGCAGGGCCTGTGTGATGCCGTGGCTAAAGCCCTGGGCTGGGACTTGGGCAATCTGGGCTCTATTCCCATTTGGTCCCAAAGTTTGCCGGGTGGCTCTTGGCCCTACTTTACAGGGTTTTTGTGAGAAAGAAATAGGGAGAAAGAGGACCTTAGAAACCACGTTGGGTTCCCTGCAGTGCAGGAGAAAAATGGGGGAAAGAAATGTAATACAATTTAATAACAGTAATGAGAAGTTCCACTAAAAACCATCATTCCTCCAGCCTTTCCTGATCCTGCCTGCTGTCTGTTAACCTCAAGGAAGGTCCACTGACTTTATGGAAGGGGATCACACACTACTGAGCATAGCAGCTGACCTATGACAGCCTCTCCATAATGGATGCTGAAATAGTGTAACAGAGCTAGGCTTACCACAGACTGTGGTGGGCTGGAGTGCCATGCCCTTCCATGCAGCCTGAAGTGCCTGATCCTGCCTCATCTTAGAAGCTAAGCAGGGTCATGCCTGGTTGAAATCTGGATGGGTGACTTAATGTTATGAACTGCCCAGAGAGCTTTGGCTACTGTAAGTGATGTAAGTGATGATGATAATAATGATAATGACAATAGAATTCAAGAACTTCAGTGAAAACATACACACTGAAGGAGGTGACCCACTTGCCCAACAAGTTGCCCACCTCTTCCTTTACACACCCACATTTAAGACTTGTTCTGTAAAAGGTACCTAGAGAATTTGTTAAGAAAGCCTGTTTTCCAAATCTTAGCAGTTTGCTCAACTGGCTCTCCAGAACTTCCAAAAGTTGCAACAGATCACTCTTTCTGATAAGTTTCATGCTAGCAAAAAAAACATTGTATATTCCTTGAGACCACAACCGAAGCTAAACTTTGCCACTTACTATTAAAATCAAAGCACTTCCATAGAAATCTTGAAGTTATACTATTCACAAATGCAAAACAGAAACGTTGTCATGCTACTTTTATGAAAGTCAACTGAAAAGCTGTCGCGTTTCTTCCTCAGGTTACACATTGAGCAAACAGAGGCAGAATAAGGTGCAGGGTGGGAGAGACAAATGTTGTCAGCCAAGGACAAAGTGAAACGCTGTCTGCACTAAGTGTCAGTCTTAAAAAGGTGGTCCCAGACCAAGCCTTCTGAAGACTAATTAACTTCATTTGCAGAAAACCTCACTTTGCTGCAAGGCACCTTGGGACACAGAAGGTTAAGTCCCTCTCTTGAAAAACATAGAAGTCAGCAGATAGTTGGATCGGTCTCTCGCACTAACTGGAGCAAGGAGGGTCCCTTGTAAGGCAGAAAACAGCAGCAAATGCTCTCTTCATGTTATCCTCCCTTAATAGGACCTGTGAGGACATTATTAAAGTCCAAAAAGAGGAGCAAAAACCCTACAGGGCTACATTTAGATTTCTCAAGTATCCAAAATGAAAAGAGCATCTTCACATTATGGCTCTCCAGTGACTAGCGCATAAAGGCTGCATTAGAAAAGAAGATTGACCAGATGTTTTCTTACATGCTTAAATGAGCTGTGGGGTGCTGCTGTTGCTCCTGTATCTTCCAAATACTCATCCCAGTTGAATTCTGCTTCTTCCACACCAGATCCTGCATCTGCAAGAAACCAGAAATGTCATCGTAGTCTGTGGGGGAAATGTATAACTGATTTGCTACTTTAGATTCCTTAGTTGTGTGGAAGCATTCAAGATCACAAGTTTTTGTGAGCCGCCACGAGGCTTCGTTGCGATGGGGGCGGCATAGAAATGTTTTAAATAAATAAATAAAATAAAAGATACCATGCCTACTAATTGAGGTTGCCTGGGAGAAAAACAAACACACAAACAAAAAACACAAAACCAAGCCAAACCTGAGAACAATTCTGGTCTGTCACACAGCCTGCATTAAGAATGGAGATAAAACTGCAACTACTACAGATTAAAGGAGGGGGATCGCTTACTAGAGATGTTAAGGTGATGGCACCGGCGCTGATCCTGCCAGTCGGTCAGTGGCAGCCAAGAACGGGAATTACTGAAGTCCCTGTTGTTGACCAGTTGCATGTCACCCACGGCAGATCAGCAGCACTCTTGTAACAAAACCCATTTAAAGAGGTGCAGCTTGTCAAGTGATCGGCAGTTGTGCGAAAAATGGAAACTCTGTGCCTTTTAAATTGGTTCGGAGCTCGACCAAGAACACAGAAGGGCGATCGACGGAAGAGAAAGAAGCAGCGAAAGTGCTGCAGCCCAGCCTTTGGTGGCAGTCATGAAGCAACCTGCAAAACCTGAGAAGACTCCTTCCCAAGCACCTGTGATTTGCGGCTTGGGTCTATAAGCAGTCCAGGCCTGATTTAATGCATTACTCGATCAATCCTTAAATGGAGCTATAATTCACTAGGCTTGGCTGTGCACACTGCTTGCAATAGCTGTGTGTAAACTTTTAAACTAAAAAATACACCTTCATCAATAAATACACTTTTACCTAAGCACCAATTGACCATTCATTCTTGGCAGAAGTTCCAGGTACCATTTCAATTAATGTACTTTATTTGGCTTGCAGAAATGACCAGTTTCTATCATGTACATTCTGTACATATTTTAAAAAATATAAATACACACAGCCTTTATGCAGCATGTCTGTGATGCACTGAAGTGTTATATGAGAAAAACAGATGGTATTTTAGACCTTTCATTAGGAGTATGACCAGTCCCACTCAGGGCAAGAAACAACCTTATAAAGAACAAGTACTGGCAGAATATTTATTAAAAAACTGAAGCACTGAGACTTGTTAAAACATCCTGCTTAAAAACCATCTTCTTACTAATTACATTTCGGGTTCAATCCAATGGCCTTCTGACATTGTCTGAAAGGCTAAGGTTCATTTTCAGTTCCGGCTCCAGGATCTTGCAATCTTAGGGGTGGGACTCTGAACACAGAGTCCTCATCCCAGCCTGCTCACACTGGTGCCAAAAGAAAAACGCAACTGACCTGCAGAGGAGGAAAGGAGAACAGTCAGGGGGCATGGAGGGAGAAGGCTGGTGCCAACAACTCGGGCCATATCCAAAGGGCACTTTCTCTCACCCTCCGCTGTGTTTCATCCATATGGCCAAGAACAGCCACTAGCTGCACTGCAGCGCACGAGGGGGCAAAGGTCACTGCTGTTCACGCCTTGCTCCTTGGATGCATGCAAGCCTGAGTTCAGAGGCTTACCTTCACGGAGTGCGGAGCGCACTGAATTGTGTCCTTAGTCCCTCTACACTTGCCTAGGCAAAACCTTTACACATTTACAGCTCAAGCAGTTACAGGCACTGTTAGTTCTGGGTGGAAAAGCATCAAACACATCAAACAAAGAAGTAGTTTGCCAACAACCTCTTTGTTGTTGTTTATCAACATCAATAAGAAAGATGATGTTCTGTACCAGATTTTTAAAAATCAATTTATATAGAAGGTAGGGTCTATTTCTGTTATACATCTAAGAATCCTAACTTTCATTTAAAATAAAGCACTTCCTCCAATTTATATGGTTTAAGATACGATTTTAAAATCCAATGGCGTAAATACTGAGGATGAGGAAGCTGTAAAAGGCTTCTCCAGGAAGCAGTCTTAGGCTACTTGTTCAAGCTACTCACAATTATTTGGTACTATTCAGCTCAAGGTGCTATTCAAAAAGCTTGCTGCAGGGTGCTTAGAAGTGCAGTCCTAGTGGAGATCTAACAGCTCTGGGCTCTAGGATTTGGTGGAAGGCCTGCTGTGCCAGTGGAACACAGAACAGCTTGCTTGAGGAACCTTCGCCACCAGAGCCATTCCACCGAAGAGACAGCGGAGACAGGGTAGATTCCTGGGTGGCATCGGAAAGGGCTTACACTTATAGAGGGGTCCCTCATGTGAGAGCCAGAGTGGGGTGGTGCTTAAGAACGTGGGACTGGGACACAGGCAATCTGGGTTCTAGTTCCCACTGAGCCATATTTTATGTATTTTATTTATTTGATGCATTTTTGCATTTTATACAGGATTTTAATGATTGTAAGCTGCCCCGAGGCTCATGTGATGGGGCGGCAGATAAGTTGTCTAAATAAATAAATAAATGGATGGATGGATGGATGGATGGATGGATGGATGGATGGAGCTCATGGGCCAGTCACAGACTCTTAGTCCAACCAACCTCTTGGGGTTGTTGTAAGGATAGAGAGGAGGAGGAGAATTATGTAAGCTGCCTTGAGTTCCTTGGAAGAAAAAAAGGCATGATATAAAAATAATAAATAATAATTAGTCCCATCAATGGCACAAATTTATACCTGTCCCAGATCTAGCTCAAGGAATTTCCTTCCAATCGGAAAGTGACCCATAACAGACCATGAGTTACACAAGGCTTGTGCAGCAAAATGCAACCTCTGGTCGGGTGTTGTTTATTCATAATGACAGGCAGCATGTGCAACAGCTCCTTAAGGATAAATTACCCCTGGTGACATGCAAACGAGGCCAATGTGTCTGCTCTTGTAGTTTCGGTAACAGATCTGTGGAATGTGAGGTGTGGGTTCAAGTCCCTGAAGTTGCCTTTTTCCTCTAACGCGGCTTTTTCAGGCAAGCAATAGGAGAGTGTGGCCACACTTACCCCTTCCCTCTGGTGGGGCTCAAATCACCAACTCCTGCTTCCCAAACCCATGCCCCACGCAGGAGCTCACTGCCGTGACTGCCCTTATTGCATTTCCTGGCCCCTCTGCCTGGCCAAGTCTTTTCCTCCCTGGCCGGGTCTTGTGTCCTGATCCCAGGGCAACTGCATGCACCCTTTCTGCAAAGAAATGGCTCAGGAGCTATGGGGGTGCTGTGTTGTACAAGTTCTCCTTCCTCATAACACAGCAGCTGTAAGCAGCACATGGGGACTTGCCCTGTTCCTATACAGGGGTACCTGGGGGCTGACATCAGCTGGATTCTTGCCAGCTGTGCTAGAGCATGGTTGAGAGGGGCTGCTGCAGCATCATCCTTTGCGTGGTGACACAGGTTCTGTGCTGGGAGTATCTTCCCACCCTCACAAGCTCACTGGCTGGCTGTGCTGGGCATCTTTGCTGGCACTGTCTCTGATTGGCTGGCTGTATGGGTGGTTCCAAGGACCACATGCCTGTCATTTATAAGCCAGTCCTGTATCTAAACATGTGAGTGTCTTCCCTCCCATGGGCTGCAGCAACCATTCCTCACATATGTAACAGCAGCAAATCTCCAGTCCTAGCACAACGTGACTACTGGTTTACTTTTATTATACAAGCAGCTCCACTTTTAATGTCTTTATGCAGCTCAATGTCTCCACAACTGCAACTGTTATGGAATTAGAATATGCAGGCACCGCTGCCAGAGAAGAGAATCGGGGAAGTCAGTGACAAGTTTGCAAATTCAAAGAGAGCCAGATATTAAGTTACAGGTTGTTGTAAATAATATTTATCCCTTAGGTCCGAGGTAGGCCTTGTTGTTATAAACAGAAGAAGCATGGACAACACTTGATGTATTATTTATCCCTTTAAGGACAAATCCTTCCTCTCACAAGAAGTGAAGTGGGTAGGAGAAAAGCCAAACTTCAACATGAATGAAAGATTCTAACACTTCAAGTCTCTATTTATGGCAGCTTGCATCACCCACATTAAATATACCATGGTGCTACTCACTTTGTCAGCATTTTAGGCCTTGAAAGAAAAAAGCCGAACACGCTTGAAATGGATAATTGAGAGCATTTAAAACTACAAAATATGAGACCACAATAAGCATTAGCGAACTTTAAAAACAAGGAAATCACAACTCTCAGGCTCTTAAAAGGGGTTTAAAAGACCATATAGGTTCCATCAAAACAAGTTCATGATATATATGCATGACTAAGAAAAAATAGTGCATGTTAAAAGAAATGGTTACCGCAAATGCCATAATATTTAAAATTGTGCCAAAAGGAGCTAGAGAGAAAAGGCGAAGGAAACACATTGTCCTTGTCCAAACTTAATGGTAATGAAGGGTTTTATATGTTCACCAGATTTAGACCTGTGTTCTTACAGGCTCCTTCCAACTCTACTATTCTATGATTTTATGATCCTACTAATTCCTTAGCACAGCTAGGAAACAAATACTGAATGGTTTTGTTTCCAGGATCAAATCAACCAGTGCTTCACAGTATGTCAGAACCCCAAATTGTTGGGAGAGGAAGGGTCCACAGGTCTTTGTGGCAGGAAACTGTGCATGTATATATGAGAAGCACCCTGCAAGCAGTCAGTGGAACCCTAGGGGCTCAAAGGGTTCTGCACTTGTGCTTTCATTTAAAGTAACTTGAGCCATGGTCAAGCAATCTTATACACCCTTATTTGAGAGCACTTTCGCTGAAACCACTGGGACTTACTTCTGAGGAGGCATACAGAGTATTGCGATGTTAATCGTGTTGTGTCACAAGAATACAAAACCACCACCACCAAAAAACAGCAACCTCTAATGGACCAGTTTAATCATCTGGAATATGTTTACAACTGAGAAGATACCTGTTGTAACTCCAGGCTTCATAATTGCATTACCTGTCTCATGCTGCTGTTCTCCATTCATCTCCACAGCAATCTGGCAATAATCCTTAGGAGCCGGAAGTAGTGGTCACCAAGCCAATCACTGCTTTGCTCTCATCTGGCCTCTACTATCTGTTTCTTCAGGATTCCAATACGTTCAAGCAAAAACTGTAAAGGAAAAAAAATAAATCATGTTTTTCTTTTTATTCATAAAACCAAAGCAACTGAAGCTCTTGTTTCTTCATTAGTATTGAATAAAGGTTAGCTTTGGAGTGTGATGAGTGAGGGGAGACACACAACAAAAGGCCACAAAGAGAGCAAACTGTCTAACAAACAAGACTCTTCAAAAGGGCTCTGCAGAATCACTGTGGAGGATGATACCATCCCTCCAGAATCTTAGAGTTGGGAACATGCTATCAAGATGACCTTGAGAGAGAAACTGAAGTAAGGCAGGCAATGACAGAAGAAAGGGTTGTGCTATTGTGGCTGTATGTCCCCACCCACACCCACAATTTTCACAGGCACTCAATACAGGGCCATGAAGGGACCTTGCCATTGGTAGGGAACGCACACAGCAGATTTTTGCAGGAAGCTCATCCTCAGATAGAGAATAGATGCTTCTAAATTCGGAGAACTTAGCTCACACACTTCAGTTGGGGAAAATTAGCTCTCACACACTCTCACTGGATTCAAAAGCAGAACAAGATTCATTTTTTACAAAGATTATTCTCAAACACAGCAGAGAAAAATGACTGGATTAGTATATCCAGCCCCCAAGCACACAAAAAGCAGCACACTTATTTCCCAAACAAAATTTTCTTAAACCTGTGTGTGAACGAAACAGCAAAGAAAAATGATCTGGTTAGTACACCCACTTTCCGAGCACATAAAATGACATACTTATTCCTAACAGACCTAAGGAACAGATAGAAAAGACACAGATTGGGTGGAGGTGGTGCTAGGGAAACGGTGGGGGACTGGAGTCCTGTCTGCCAGGGAAAACGTAAGTGACAGTGAAATAGTGGACTGAGGCTGTAGAAATGATAAAAGAGGGGGAAAGGAGAGAGAGAGCATGATACAATCCTAATAACCCAAAACAGCAAGGGGAACCAGAAGAACCTCCAGATTGGGTTGTCAAAAGATGTAAAAATTCTGTGGACACAGATTACTTTTGATGGTCTCAATGCTGATTTCAATTTTAAAATAATTTTAGATGGGGAGTCTCAGATTAGAGGTGAATACTTCTCGAGTGTATTTGGAAGCCGTTTTGCATCTGGCACACCAAAAACCAACACTACTGACCTCAAGGACAGCAACTCACACGGGAGTACAAGCCTCAACAAAACATCAAGCTGCACTCAAGAAACTGACAGACATAGCTAAATATGGAACCTCATCCTAGACTCAGTGACCACCTTACAAAAGTAAGGTTTTGTCTCTTGGTGTATGAAAGGCACATGGATCTCTTGCTGAGTAAACAAGGTAGTTCAAAAATGAACGCAAACTGGACTCCTGGCTCGGCATCCATGGGTAGCCATGAGCAAAGGAAAGTGTGCAGAAAAGGAGAAGAATATGCCAACTCTGATCAGGTTCAATCTTGAACCAGGACAAATCAGAGTGATAGATGTCCAAGCAAGAAGATGTATAAATGATGACTGCCCAAACTCCAGGCGGCTATAGTGTTTTACACAAAGAATGCAAAGGCTTGATTGTTTCAGGGCTGGCCTAGGCTGGGTCAAAGACTTGCCTGCAATTTCTATAGAGGGTACAGGAAAATTCTCCGCCTTTTGATGGATTTTAGCTTTTCAGGGCAGCTCAGTACAGATCCAGAACAAAAGGAATTATCAAAAATGATTCAAGAGGAGCTGCCTGGGCTTTGACCTCACTGAACAAGTAGGTAGGTTGTGACAGCATTCCAGGATGAGGTTGTTTTTCCTGGCAGGACATTTAGAAAATAATTGCAATTCTATCTTGCCTTTTTACCTCTTATGAGGAACTCAAGGCAGCTTACCTAGCTCCATTTAATCTGTCAATTCAAAGGTACCCTAATGAGTAGGTTGCTGCATGGTGACAGAGTAATTAGGCAGAAATTCACAAGAATCCCCAGGCAGATGGACCCTCCCTTTAATTTTATCAAAGTGCACTCACATGTTCAGGGTGGCTCTTCACAACAGAATTCCATAAAGCCTAATCATCATTTCTGGCTAGCAAGCTCTTCCAGTTTTGCCTTCTAGAACAAAACAGATTCCAGAACCACAGCAAAGTCCAGTAAGTCTAACTGTACTAACCTTGTGGGACAGAAAAAATTCCCAGTACTTTATTTTTCCAAGGACATTTGCTAATTCATAAGCTCACTGGCAGCTAAGAATGGATGCCAATTGCAAATACAATGTGTGGCAAGCTTGGCAGTTTCAAAGTTGTAATTGATGCTTTCAAGTGATTATCTCTAGCAAGTATGTGGGGGAATATACACCTCTCGTTGAAATATGCATCTCAGTGTGAAATGGCATTCATAAGTGGCGACAGCAAAACGGAAGGTGCCCCAGTAGAGTCAGTGGAAAAGAGTTGAACTGCACTGAAACAGATGACTGGTTATCAACATAGGATCCACAGTTCTTTGGGTTGCTAACATTGATTAGTGTGTCAACAGTTTTCAGTACCTTTATATTTTTCTTAAATTTAAAGAATATAAAGGAAGTATATTCTATTGTTTTTACACATTTTTAAAAATCTACAAAATATAGCATTTAAATCACCTTCAACTTATGTTAGAAACATAGAAACAGAGCGAGTCAGAAGGGGCCTCCTGGGCTATCTAGTCTGACCTCTGGCTCCAGCCGGCTCCGCTCATGACATGTCCCTTCAAAATTCCAGGTCAAACTGGGACAAACTTTCAGGAGTATTGGGACAAAAATATTGAAGTGGGGTATTTTGTTTTAGCTTTGTTATTTATTAAATGCAAGGACAATAAGCATCCAAAATTAGTTCATTCTCTATGGTAGACTTGGGCACTTTGTGCGAATGCACAGCATGTAACTCCCTCGGTCATTTTTACAGTCCCTCTGAAAATGCTGCCATTTTGCACCTTGTCCCCAGGTGAAACAGGACATTTGGCAGTATAATTCTGTTTTCAAACCAGACACACCCTCCCTGCATACCTTGTCACTTTGCAAAATTGCTGCATTTGTTACTATCACCATGGTGGCAAATTTAGGAAGAATGGGACTATTGGTGATGGCTGATGCAATGTCCTTGAACATCAGAATATTTTCCTATGCACATTAATTTGTTTTCTGATTCAAACTTTCTGGAAAACGTACAACACTAAATAGCATGCAACATGTGAACAGACAATAAGCATGCATAGGGTATCTTTGTAACAGTAAATGGTGACTTCAATTAACAGTTATCCATGTCTGCTCCAACCATGAGAAAGAGGTAAAGCTTACATGCCCTAGAAACATTTTTCATGGAACTCATGAGACCCTGAACTTAAATGGCATGCAAAACCTAGTGAGCAATGTGAGCGCTGCTGAACTTATTGGAGGCAGTAACCACAGTGCTATCAAATCTAAATTAAATGCAAGAGGGAAATTGCCTAAGTATATCAAACACAGTTACATCCCTTCAAAAGAGGACACTTCTCTAAAATGAGGAGACTGGTAGATAGGAAGCCAAAAGGGAAAGCTAACACTGACCAGTATCTCTGGAATGCTTGGAGGCTGCTAAAACCGTAATAGAAACTCGGCTAGAATGTATACCATGGATCAGGAAAGGAAGCAGCAAGTCCAGCACAGTTAGCAAGAAATGTCAAGGGAACTATTAGAGAAAAGAAAGCGCCCTTCAGAAAATGGATATGGTGCTCAAGAACAAAAAGGAACACACTCTTGTATTGAAGGAATGCGAACAGACAATAAGGGGGGGAAAGGGATTTTGAGGCATGATGCTAATATTATTTAACATTTTAATAATAAATATGTGCTTGTTGGTCTTAACAGTTTGGCTAAAACCAACATAATGACCGACAAAAAAAAATCTTATCTAAATAATAAGAAACAAACCACTTATCTAGTGGTTTGACTACTAGATAAAAAAGCAGAATGCTAAGAGTATAAGAACATTGCAAAGAAACTGAAAGAACTATTTCCACTTGTCTTCACTGCAGAAAATGTAGGACAGGTACTCATGTATTTTCAGGAAGTCTGAGAAATGTAGGACAGGTATTTTCAGGAAGTCTGAGAAACTGAAGCAAACAGGGATGATAGGAGATGAAGTTCTAAACTGGCCCTTTTTCAACTTGGTGCCTACCAGATGTTCTGGACCATCACCTGAGAGTTCCTCATAATTGGCCATGCTGGCTGGGCCTGATGGGAATTAAAGTCCAAAACATTTTGATGGCATAAGGTCATAGTATTATAGTATCACAGAACAGTAGAGTTGGAAAGGGCCAGAACGCCATCAACCCACTGCTGTTGCAGGACACTAAGTTACACTATCCCATTCGGATGACAGGGTCAGGGAAGGCTGATCTAGACTTTATTGACAAAGTGAAAACAAACAAATCACCAGGACTGGATGGTATCTGTGTGAGAATTCTCACCTCAAATTCAAACAGATTTTTAACACAGTAGCCAAAGTGATGCTAATTTTGAAGAAAGGATCCAGAAATTTAAAGGTGGATTAGCTTAATAACTGATTCTAGAATCCAGGGGAGTGATGGGAGATCCAGGACCAATTAGAGGAAGTACCTCACACAATACACTGGCAAAATACAGAATTCCCTACCTCAAAATGTAGGGATGACTGCAAACCTGGATAGCTTTAAAAGAGGCTCAGACAAATTCAGAGGATACAATTATCAACAGCTACTAGTTATGATTGCTAAATATTACCTCTAGTATCAGAGGCAGTGTGCTAGAAAACACAATTAAGAAGGTGGTACTGAATTAATGTCCTGCCTGATGATATCCCATACACATCTGTTTGGCCGCTGAACGGAGATGTGTAAGCCACTGAAAGGGGTTTGGAAAACATGCAGAAATCTGACCATGTTGATTCACAAATGGTTTCAAGTCTACAAGTGGGTTTCTCTGTTTGTTAAAAGGGAAGCATGGATAAGGGAAAGGAGGGCATTTCCTGACCAGTGGGGGAGCCCCTCAATATGGGGG